TAGTCCTAGAGGAATTGGTATATTTCATCCAAGTTGTCAAATTTATGTGCATTAAATTGCCCACAGTATTCCCGTAACATCATTCCAAATGTCTGTTGTATCTGTAGTGATGTCCCCTCTTCTATTCCCAATGTTCATAATTTGTGTTCTTTTTCCTTTGCAGTCTTTCAAAGAAACTCTTTTGGCTTCATTGATTTTTTCCCCCTCTTTGTCCATTTTCAATCTCATTGATTTCTGTTTTTATTTCTTTCTGCTAATGTTTAGTTAGCCCTTCTTTTTCTGATTTCTTAAGCTAGAAGCTTAGGTGATTTATTTGAAACCTCCTTCATGTTTGCATTTAATTCTATAAATTTCCTTTACATACCATTTATCCACATCCCACAATCAATATTTTGTATTTTTATCTTTCAAAGTTCAAAACATTTTTTAATTTTTCTTTAGACTTCCTCTTTGGTTCATTGAATATTTAGAAGTACATTTCCAAGTCTGGAGATTTTTCAGGTTCTCAGTGTGTTATTGATTTCCATTTTTTTTCCAGTACAGTCAGAGAATAAGAACAGTGTTCTTATTTTTTCTACCTTTGTAATTTGTTAAGGTTTATTTTATGACTCAGGATATAGTTTATCTTATGAAGCTGTCATGTGTACTTAAAAAGAAATTATATTCTTCTATGTTTAGGGTGAATATTTTATATATCAATCAAATAGATTAAGTTCAGTTGATGGTAGCATCCAGTTATATATTCTTGCTGATTTTCTGTCTGTTTTCTACTGGATACTGAGAAATGCTGAAGTCTCTAACTATAATGGTATATTTGTCTATTACACCTTTCAGTTCTTTGTTTAAAATTAATACAGTTACTACATCTTTATTAGTAAATGCTTCTTTTTCCACTCTTTTAACCTGCCCATGACACGTATTTCACATATTTCCAGTGGGTTTATTTTAATTCTGCTTGGTTTGGCTTTTCAGTGTCCTCCTAAGGCCCATGTGATGAAGGGTTGGTTCCCAGCCCACTGAGCTACTGGGAAGTGGTGGAAACTTTAGGCCTACCAGAAGGAATTGAGGTCATTGGGTTGTGCCCTGGAAGGGGATATTGGGATCCTGGCCTTTTTTCATGTATTTGCAAATACAAATATACATATTGGCACCATGCTTTCCAACCAAATTCTCCTCTACCACATGCTCCTACCATGGCATGCTGTGCCACCACAGGCACAAGGCATTGGGGCAAAGCTACCATGAACTGAAACCTCTGGAACCATGAGTCAAAGTAAACCTTTCTTTCTTTTAGGTTTATTATCTCAGATATTTTGTAACAGTGATGGAAAGCTTACTAAGATAAGCATATCACTTTTTATTTTTTTGTTTTTAATCCATTCTGATATACTCTTTTATTTGGTGTGTTTAAACATTTAATGCTTGTAATTAGATCTTTCATTTTAATACTTGTTTTCTGTTTGTTTTCTTTGCTTTTAACCTGTTTCCTCTCCTGCTTCATTTTGGAGTATTTCAGCAACTTTCAGTACAGTATTCCATTTTAATTTATCTATTGCTTTTCTTACTCTGTCTCTTTGTGTGTTTTGTGATTGTTCTAATGATTATAATACATTAACTTGTCTACTTCAAATTTATATTTTACAACTTTAAATAGTATGTAGAAAACTTATCATCATGAAGTTTCCTCTGTCCTCTCCCTTTTTGTTGTAGTACTCCCTTATCCAYGGGAGAGCTATTTCATGACCCCCAGTGATGCCTGAAACTATAGGAAGCATCAACCCTGTATGTACCAGTTTTTTCCTTATGTACATATTTGTGATAACATTTAATTCATAAGTTAGGCACAGTGAGACTAGCAAAAATACCTATAAATAAAATAAAACAATTATAAAAATGTACTTTAATAAGAGTTACTTAAAATGTCTGAGTTGTTTGTTTCTGGAATTTTCCATTTAGTATTTTTTGAACTGTGGCTGACTACAAGTAACTGAAACCATGAGAAGTGAGACCCTTATAAGGTGGGCCCACTGTTCCTGTCTTGCGCTTTACATCTACAACACCTGGAATACTCCATCACTAAAGCTTATTGTTTTTTTGCTTTTAAATCATCAATCATATTTTTAAAGGCTCAAAAGAAGAGAGTCTGGGACTGGGGATGTGGCTCAAGCGGTAGCGCGCTCGCCTGGCATGCGTGCGGCCCGGGTTCGATCCTCAACACCACATACCAACAAAGATGTTGTGTCCG